ATCCTCTCACGGGAAGGGATTTGTGCCGGCGCACGATTCGAATCAGCGGAACGGCGCTGAGCGTATACGTGGGCCGGATAGTTCGGATCGAGGACGAGCCCCGGCCCAATTCGAATCACAACGGCCCATGTTAACAGGGTAACCATCGGCTCCCCTCTCTCACCATGGCTGTATTCGGGGTCACATCGCGGCTGGACCACCCCGCACACAACGGCGAACTGCCGCACGCAACGCCGACAGAGAGACTCTCTCTACGCGCCCGAGCAGCACCTCTTATACTCCTTTCGAGCCCACCCACAACACGATCGGCGTGCGACTCGCCGGCACCACCGCGTCCCACCTCGCCGCGTCCACGGGCTAACGCATCGCCCCTGAGTCGTGACCGTTTCCCTACGTTAACACTGTCCTGGCGCGCGAGCTATTGCCGCATATGGTCCACCGCTACAATGCCCCAGGTCAAGATTTCGTTTCAAGGAGCATATTGCCTAGCGCAATCTTTGTCGCTTATTCAGATACAAAACCCAAAGCGGTCTTGTTTGTCTTTTCCCTTGCCGATCTGTGTGGCAAAACGCCAGCGCGGCGTGACTGTGCGGTCGGGACGATTATGTGGTGGTGTGGCGCCATCTGCTAACGCTTAGTCAGCCGGCCCGGCCGAGAGGGCCACCGCCTGCAGCGTCAGCGTCATGTGTACAGCTTCGCTAACGCACATCAGCAAGTCAAATGTAATGTCATGCAACCGCACACCAACAAAGCAACCCCGCTGCCGACCGCGCCCCGCTCTGTGCGCCGGGCCAGCGTTCTCCTAAAAGCCACCGTGGTAACAACAGTGAACTTGTGCCCTGCCTGTCTTCCTCAAATATTGCAAGCAAGCTCCGCTTGCTGTAACGTGATACGGGGAGGCCCTCCCTTCCTCCACCTCACCACCCAATATTTTACTGCCACCGCACAACGGGAACGGGCGTCGGACGGTCCTGCCCAGCCGGGCCCAAGTGCGATACTCGGTCACCTTCGGCCGTCCTGCCCAGCCCGGCCCAAGTACGACATTCGGCCATCATTGGCCGCTATAAGTGCATCACCTTCGAAAACGAAAAAAAAATACTGTGACCGTATTTGAAATTTTCTGGCACAATTTACCCTTGTTGTCTACTACTAAATGCATGTATAGTTGCGTTCCCCAAGTAGCGCTCATTCGGCCCCCTTACTCTCTCGCCCTGCTCCCTAACTCCCGTTCGACCTCAGCATTGATATTCGTAGTGTCATCCGTCCACGCTTAGTCAGCCTGTCCGGCCGAGAGGGCCGCCGCCTGCAGCGTCAGCATCACGTGTACAGCTATGCCAACGCAGACCAACAAATCATGTTTAATGACATGCAACCGCACACCAAAACCACCCCGGTACCGACCGCACCCGGCTCTGTGGGCCGGGCCAGTGCTCTCCTTAAAACCGCCGTGGTAACAACAATGAACTTAAGCCCAGCCCGTCTGCCTCAAAATATACAGTAAGACGAACGGTCTGTGGGAAAATACGCACGACTCGCACCGCGTCACATGAAGAGTGACAGCGCGTGGGCGCACCACCCCATATCCACCCCTAAATTACTCACGGTGCTTGGACGCGTATCATAGCGTGTGTGAACATGTCATAGCCGTATCCAGTTTTCCAAAGCAGAGGAAGCGATGACGCGCGATCTGAGCGTGGCCTATTGAAGTGGCCGCCACACGGCGAATGTCAGCTGTTAACGACCATGGTCCCTGTGCACTGCGACACCCTCTCGTCCTCCTTTTCGCCGTTCCTGGACTCGCCTCTGACTGAACTACCGTTTCATATGGTTTACAGCATGAAGGGGGGGGGGGGGGATGGCACGTAATATGCCTTTAAGTGTTTCACGTTTCAAATGTTTCCTGCGACACAACCTGCCCTGAGGCGTTTTTGTGCCAAAAAATAGCATTTTCATTCCTGCCGTTTTACGTGCATACATATTTCTCCATTATCTACACAGAGCAACGTAGTGTTGACATAGGCTGGACACTGTAGGTGGACACTGCACATCCTCTGTCTTCACCTGAGCAACGCTCCGTCACTGTGTATGCTCCGCCACTGTATATATCAAACGGGCGCATAAACAGCGGCCAAATGTCAAGTCTCGCATCTAAATGCCAAGGTCTATGAATGCAATGACAGATCGCAAGGCTCTTAGCTGTGTGAAAAAAGTTCAAAACTGTCCCGTCGGTCCCCGCGTGGAACACCCCGTAAGCACGTGGAGTGCTACCGTCTGTTACAGGCCAGTAGCACCCGACGGCCCCAGACCACACGACCCATTTAGACACGGCGGTTCAGTCAAAACTGGGCGCCAAGAGATATCCCATGCCCCCAACCTATCCGACCCGATGTCCAGCCCCCTTCCAGTCGCGCGGTCGGACGGAGATGACATGAGATCAGCCAGCGCAAGACGAGGCGCCAGGTGGCCGGCCACGGGCCACCGCCGCCACACGTGCGGCACCACGTGCGTCGGCCCGGCTCGGCTCGGACACGGGCCGGAGGCGGCTACCATGCCGCTGAGGTCGCGCGCTTGAGCGCTACCACCCTATTAATGCGACTCGACACGAATTGTGCACATTTCCTCAAAGACCGTTCGCCTTGCTGTATATTTGAGGAAGACAGGCAGGGCACAAGCTCACTCTTCATACCACGGCGGCTTTTCGGAGAACGCTGGCCCGGCGCACAGAGCGGGGCGCGGTCGGCAGCGGGGTTGCTTTGTCGGCGTGCGGTTGCATCACATTACATCTGACTTGTTGGTGCGCATTAGCGAAGCTGTACACATGACGCTGACGCTGCAGGCGGTGGCCCTCTCGGCCGGGCCGGCTGACTAAGCGTTAGCAGATGGCGCCACACCACCACATAATCGTCCCGACCGCACAGTCACGCCGCGCTGGCGTTTTGCCACACAGATCGGCAAGGGAAAAGACAAACAAGACCGCTTTGGGTTTTGTATCTGAATAAGCGACAAAGATTGCGCTAGGCAATATGCTCCTTGAAACGAAATCTTGACCTGGGGCATTGTAGCGGTGGACCATATGCGGCAATAGCTCGCGCGCCAGGACAGTGTTAACGTAGGGAAACGGTCACGACTCAGGGGCGATGCGTTAGCCCGTGGACGCGGCGAGGTGGGACGCGGTGGTGCCGGCGAGTCGCACGCCGATCGTGTTGTGGGTGGGCTCGAAAGGAGTATAAGAGGTGCTGCTCGGGCGCGTAGAGAGGGTCTCTCTGTCGGCGTTGCGTGCGGCAGTTCGCCGTTGTGTGCGGGGTGGTCCAGCCGCGATGTGACCCCGAATACAAGCATTTTAGGTCAATGACCTATTCTGACCTTTAAGAAGTCCATGAAGATGTTCAATGCGTTTCCTGTCATCAGTAAACCAGAAACGAGTACCAGAAACCACCTAGTACAGCAAGCCCTAAAGTAATAAAGCAGGTTAGTCTTGACCTTGTTCTGACCTTCATAGCTGACCCTAAGTCGATGGAAATTGGTCATTCAATTGCTGTGTTGCCTAACAAAGTATCTCAGAGCTTCCTTAGAAACTGACTTGTCTGAATCCATGGCATAACTGACCTGCCGCAGGTCAGCGACCTTACAATGCACATATAAGTTTGTAACACATACGATCCGCTATTCTATTGTCTGCTGCTATGAACAATTTGGCGCGGCTACGCCGCGTCGTTCGGAAACCATTCCGGGAAAACCCTCGGGGGGGGGGGGGCAATTTGACCTCCACCCGAGCGCGTGTTAAAGTCGATACAATAAAATCTCAACACAAAACAGAACGAAGTAGCATTGTGTAAGCACGGCCTCAGCTATTCAAAACTTTGTCATTCTGGTTGGGATGGGCCGCACATGGTTTGAAACTTGATGCACTTTAAAAATGACAATGGAGGAAACACCCCCCGGTGAGGTAAAGCCAAGATGGCTTGGTAATATGCAGAGCCCAAACGCTGTACGACCGAGACCATGGCCTGAACAACAACCGAGCTGATGGAGTAAGCCGGGCTTAATGGCGCTAGATCTGCACGATCATGAAGCGAAAACAATCCGGTCAACCGCCAGGGAGCTTGGCGGCGTTTTTCCTCTGCTGACGTCCGTCAGTTCACAGTTAAGCTGTGATGGGGCCGCTCACGTGGATCAAAACAGGTAACAGCATGACAGCAGTGCTGGAAACCGCAGATGGCAGAGGCTGATAAAGCGGCATGCTTCGGTCCAGCGCGCAGGCCGATACCGCTGGAGACGGCAACACTGGACAGCCCGCTGCTTCGCCTGCAGACATCTTCTCCGAAATGTAGGTCTAGCTTAGTGTCAGCCGGACAGCGAGCAAAGCGAGTAAAGCGAGCAAGCAAACAGCCAAACAAAAACAGCAAATCAAGAGAGCGAGAGCGGGAGAGATCGAGTGAGCGAGTGAGACGGGGAGAGAGAGGGAGAGAGAGAGAGGAGAGAGGAGAGAGGAGAGAGGAGAGAGGAGAGAGGAGAGAGGAGAGAGGGGGGAGAGGAGAGGGGGGAGAGGAGAGAGAGGGGGAGAGGAGAGAGGGGGAGAGGAGAGGGGGAGAGAAGAGAGGGGGGAGGGAGAGAGAGAGGGGGAGAGGAGAGAGAGAGGGGGGAGAGGAGAGAGGAGGGAGAGGAGAGAGGGGGGAGAGAGGAGAGAGGAGGGGAGAGGAGAGAGAGGGGGAGAGGAGGGAGAGGGGGAGCAAGGAGCGGTCACACAGCCGACCTGCGGCCTGACCCGGGCGCTAGCCGGGCAATAGAAGTGTTTAACAGACTCAAACACACACGCACCGCCCGGAAGAAGACACAAAGACGGCCTACACTTCGGCCCGCGTTGACAGAGACGACCACTTGCACAAAAACTTCACGCACAAAGCATCTGCACCGGCGCCAAACGCTTGCGTCCGTAAGAGACGCAGGCAACCTCCAAGCACACAATGCCCCTGCGCAGGACCGCAGGCTGGAGTACTGACCGCATCACAGTAGGTGTAGGGCGGCACAGAGACGAACCGGTTCTGCTGGCGCTGTACGCACCAGAACTGGTTGTATCCGTTCATCCCGAGAGCACTGGCGTGGCTCCGCCGGTCGCTCACGCGCCCCAGCTGGCCCCCACCCCCGACTGAGTGCGCCCCCGGCCGCAGTCAGGACCGGCCTGCCCGTCCCGCCCTGCCGCAGCCCGCGCTGAGCGCAGCGCCACCTACCAGCGCGAGGACAGCCGGCTGGCGGTGCGGGTGCGGGCGCGACGCCGCCCTGTGACCGCCCCAGTAACGCCCTCGGGGCACCAACGGTGTTTGTGAACAAGGACGGCCTCTGTCCGAAAATATCCCACCCGCAAGAACAAATCCAAGGCGGTCAATGGCGCCGGGACCCCGTCCGAAATGATGGAGAACAACTTATTTGGAACTCTTAGTGCCATCTGGCAACTCCTACACGGCTGTTGGCACTGAGCCCCCGGGTATCACATCATATATCGCAGTGACATACGCACATTGCGAGGCGCGGTAAAGCCGCCCGGTCCGGCCCCGTTACCGCCACCCGTCGGCAATGGCCTCCGGGGCGGTTCGATTCGCGACGGGGGAGGGGAGGGAGGGCGAACGGCTGGGGTCCGCCTGCGACCCGAAGCAGGCCGGCGCACGACACAAACGCAGCCACAACGTATTCGAAAATAGCTATGGACACGCACGGGGGCAACGCGGAGCCTGAAGGAATAGCAGGAGTCGTGCGATTTGTAACGCTTCACTCTGGTGACATGCGTTCTTCTTTTCACTATTGCCCATCAGAGAACCAGCGTGAAAAGCCTGACTATACTCGGTAGTAGTCCGCTCGCGTTGCGCTGCGCCCCGGCCCTGGTCGTGGTCGGGCCGCGTCTGCCTCTCGCCGCGCAGTATGCGTCAGTTTATAAAGCGCGGGGCCGCTGGGCGGCGCTGGCGAGTGGCCTCGAAACACAGGGGATGAGGCGTTCTAAAACCTTCGACGTTGCGCAATTTTAAGTGCACATGTGAGCCCTAATGAAGCAGTCGAAGCCTAATGAGGCAGCAGAGACGCGCTATGCCACAATCCATTGTATAAATAGACTACGGCTACGGATACCATCATCCGGCTTATCTAGTGATGAGCACAGAAGACGTAAACAATTTGTTGCATGACCTACAGCAGTCGAAGCGCCCTTACCCCACCACCCAGTAAACAAATTCATGCATCGCACAAGCATTCCGTCTTCGTTAGTTTTGTTAGCGAGGGTCCCGCTGACGCGTTACAGATTAGTACCAAGTAGTGTCGCATGTAGTGTTATCCACAACACATGTGGCTCCTGTGGCCTCTTCTTTAATGAAATGCAGGTAACATGCCCTTCCAACAACTACCAGTTTTTTTTTTTAAATGATGGCAGCACGCACTGACGTTGTATCAAACGGCACTGCATTGTACTGAACTGTGAAATACGGTCGGTAGATGCCAAATCAATTGCCTTGGCTCTCGCACACGCGACGTTGCAATCTATACCGCGTCCTTGTTGGTTCGATTCCCCATCAATGCACCGTGACATATCAAACCGCGATCCGCGCCGTTCACACCGGCAATCGTTCGGATTTACACTACAATGAACGGCATGTACTGTGACTCACACATGCGCGCAATCCACACAGTTTACACCGGTAATCGTTCCGACTTACACCACAATGAATAGTATACATCGCGTGCACTGTAAATGTTGGCGCAAGCGGATCAGTGTACGGTCCACGGCACGTCACCGGCCGCCGCCGGCCAACACTGCACGGCGTCTCAGTTCGAAAACAATGGCATTGCTAATCGGTGAACATCGGGCTTCTTTCGCCCGGATCTTGTTAACTCACCTCCAGCTTTCACGCTCTGCGGCTGGGAGACAAAGGCATTGTTAATCGGTAAACATCAGGCTTATTTCGCCCGCATCGCAATAGGCAAGGGCCTTGGACATGACTGAATCTTGCTCGCGGTTTTTCTGACGTGTCATGGCGAATCGAATCCTTCTATCACAAGACAGCGGCATTGCTAACCGGCGAACATCAGGCCTATTTCGCCCATATCCTACCTCCCTCTTACGCCGATACGCAGCTTGCTTCTTCAGACGTCTGACCCTCGCCGACTGAGGCATCACAAAGCAGCGCTGACTGTACCGCGATCACTTGCTAGGCCCAAAAGGACGCCACCCGAGCCACACTGATCAGTACGCACCGCGCGTAGCAAGGGAAGCAGAGGATCAACATGAAGACGCCTCCATTTCGCGCCGTAAGACATGACGCCTCCGCCCAGGGACATTAACTTCAGCACGGGCTTCAGCGAACAGTGAAGACCGGAAACTTATATTTTCAGTACAAATTTTCAAGTTGACAGTTGTTTTGATTGCTTCGTATGTTTTTTTCACTGTAATTTATCATATTGCTCCGCGTTCACGCAGTGGACATAAAATTAATTGAAGATCCAGAATTGCCACTTCCATCACTAAAATATGCACCATGATCACCAACTGCTTCGGCAACCCAAAGCGGTCAGCGTATCACCAGAAGGCCGACATGTGGCACAAAGCGTGCAAACCCGTGGAAGAGAGCAAAGTCCATTTGTGAGCCCGTGCCACGTGATACGTGTGACAGTACCATCTCGCATGGTACACGAGCATTCCCGTGTCGCTGCGACCCACCGTCGTCGAAATCTTAGTGCGAGATGGCTTAATCGGTCGGAAGTAATTTATTACGGCTGCCAGTCATGTGATTAGACGGTCGTTTAATCTTGAAGCAAACTCCGACGCCGGCCGAGACACCGGACGGCGCCGTCCCGTCGCGGTGCAAAAATCCGCCATGCATCCCATTAACCTGGGCTCATTTGCGAGCGACAATGTCAAAACGTGATCAACAAAAGACTGACATGGAGAGAGAATAAATCGGCCGACACGCTGATGTAGTTTTCAAAGTTAAATTATGAATAGTCTGGGAGGCGTGCTGTCACGGCCGGCTGTCGCGTAGATCGCCGGAGCGGCTGTTGGAATGCTCTAGAATGTTCTGGCATGCCAGAAAGCTCGTCACCTTACAGGTAACCCCGGCGAAACGAACAAAGTCGAAAGCTAGATAGCATCGACCTCCAGGACGTTTGCGATCAAAGCAACGGTCCACACGACGCTCCGTTGACCACCCCGGTTGGGTCACAATTGCTTACGGAGGACACGTGCTCCGGCCTGCAACCGGATGCATATATTTTTTCCGTGCATGCGTTTCCAGGCAACCCATGTAAACAAACGTTCGTCAAGTTGGCGCCACATTCACATTCAGATTCAGGCCCATATTCGGGATTCACTGGACTCCTCAAATTGGCCTGAAACTTTACATACAGATGCAGTTTAATCTCCTGAGCACAATGAACACAAAGTCTCGGACCGGTACGCCCTATTACAGGAGATATATCCAGACAAAAGATCCCATTAAAAAGGCGGACTCCTTCAATTCTTTCTCAACTCCGCGCGCTGGTGGAAATTGACCTCCTGATAATTATAGATACAAAGTCTTGGACCGGTACGCTGTATCAATATGTATATATATATATATATATATATATATATAAAATACGCTTCATGCGTCCAGAAAATGTCAGTCAAATCTAAAGAGTCCGCTGAACATCGAACATTATATATATATATATATATATATATATATATATATATATATATATATGACTCAGTTTGATGTTCGATGTTCAGCGCACTCTTTAGATTTGACTGACATTTTCTGGACGCATGAAGCGTATTTTTCTGAGTAAAACGATCATAAACTTTTGCACCGGTACGCCCTATTACCGGAGACAGATCAAGATGAAAAATTCCAGTAAAAATGGCGGACCCCTTCGCATACTGAAAGACACTGACCTGATAACGATCGATACAAAATCTTGGACCGGTTCGCTGTATCAGAGAAGTTACAGCCGTTCCAACATCAATGTCACCAAACTGAGAATCACTGCGGCCTCTTTGAAGTTGAACGTTGGTTCAGGGCCATATTCATTCGTTTCGGCGCACACTTTAGGTTGTTATCGCTGTTATTGCCGCGGGTATCCTGAGTAGCATGTTCTTGGATATCTCTTACTGTGGGAAACCTGTGTATAGCTACATTTACCCCACATTCTGTGTTCCCTGACATGCTAGACCTACATCTTAACTGGCTGTCGCCTGCCGCTGTATTACGTTGCTTCGATTTCCATCGGTAGAGGATCCAGACCTGCAGACGTCCAGACGTTTCCAAATCTCCCGCTGTTTTTGGCCGGTTAATGATCTGTTACCTGTTTTGTTACCATGATGCCCATACCTCCAATGCACCCCTGCCCTTAGATCTAGCCCTTGGAATGTCTGGCCACTGCGATGTGAGAAATGCCTCGTTGATGGGACCTCCACTAATAATTTTTTCACGCTGTCTTGTGATGTGGATCAAGAGCATCACCATCCACCACTGGTGGCCTCACTTTGTGATGTGGTTTATGAGCATCAACATCCGCCAATGGCCTTGTGATGTGGTTTATGAGCATCACCATCCGCCAATGGTAGCCCGACCCTGTGACCTGCTATGTCACCGTGCCTTGAATTTCAGCTACCATCCATCAATGGTCATATATGGCGCAATGTCATGTGGCAGAGGGTCCTGAGCTCAAGCTGCTCTTCTGGTTACCATAATCCATTACCTATCCTGTTACTGTGCTATTGTGAATTATGTTCAGTTTGTTCCCCATTAGTTACCTGGCCAGTGGCCTGTTTTATGACTGTTTTGTCTTGAGCGTAGGCTGTCCTCTTTAAGTGATGTGACTCCGTAATCTAGCTTGTCTTGTTGGGTACACAGATTGAGCTGTCCCCCAAAAGAGATCATACCTTCTATTTATACTGACACTAGAGTGTCAGGAGTTCCAACTGTCTGCCACCATTGGCCTGACTGTGACATCCTGTCACTGTGATATCGAGACCATAGTGACAGGATGTCACGAGGGCAGGCCAGGGCAGAGTAGGCCAGTCTCTCCAAAGGGCATTGGAGAAATAAAAGGGGTTGAAAAT